GTGATCGTATATTAATGCCCTCTCGAATGCATTCGCTATATTTAGCTCGTTTTTTTTATTGTCACGCAAATGAGATTCGGGTGACGAATTACGTATACGTGAAAATATTTGTATAAACAGCTGTAGCTACTTTATTATGAAAATATATTTAAATACATATATTTTCTGCGCTCCAGTGATGCCCTTTTAGCATTATTGGCAACAGATGGGCAGCACTTTTGAGCGGCTGCAGCAAATGTCCTATTTTAGGGCTATTTTAATATCTTTCGCATTTATTTATGTTTTTCTTGAGCAATCTCTTAAAATAATACGTTGTGGCATTTTCCTATTGAGTGGCGCCTTTATGCGCTTCTTATGAAATATAATGAAATACATATATTTTCTGCGGTCCAGTGATGCCCTTTTAGCATTATTTGCAACAGATGGGCAGCACTTTTGAGTGGCTGCAGCAAATGTCCTATTTTAGGGCTATTTTTAATATCATTCGCATTTATTTATGTTTTTCTTGAGCAATCTCTTAAAATAAAACGCTGTGACATTTTCCTATTTAAAGGCGCCTTTACGTGTTTCTTATGAAATGTAATGAAGCATGGTTATAATCAATTTTAAGTAGAAAATAGTTTAGAATTCACTTTATTTTCTGCGAATTTGGTATCTAGCGTTGTTGCTATGTCTATTGTTAGCTCATTGAGTAAACAGAAATTGCACAATCGAAAGCTCGCTGCGAAATAGCTTAATTGCATAGCTTTACAGTGCATACCTTTGAGATGATTTCATGGAGTTCAATTTATTTAAAAACTTTTGAGATGTGCAATTCTCTTTTTAACAAGTGGGAGTGCACCAGTCGGCAGTGCCCGACTAGGTGATACCCTGAACCTACTGCGACCAACACCAAATGCAGCTTGCGCTAGGAGGAATTAAATATACTTGATAAATCTAAAAAAGCAGGATTTCGATATCTAGTTTTATCGATTGCTTGGGGAATAGGACATTTTCGATCATCACCTTAAACTATGCAGGCACCTTGGAGGACCTGTGTTCAAAATTTCCTTCTGTAGCTTTTATAGGTTCTGAGAACGACGCGTTCATACATACGACAGTCGCACAAACGGACGGACAGACAGACGGACAGACAGACGGACAAACAGACGGAGAGATAGACGGACGGGCAAACTAATCAAGGACATATATATATACTTAATGGGGTCGCAGATGCTTACTTCACAAAACAATATACCTTATTTACCAATTTCCATTGGGCTTAGGGTATGCATGGTTCCTGGTATTTGTATTTATCACGTTTTTTACTAATGTTGGAAAACTATCAAAATCATCCACTTATATTTGTGTGCACTTTTTTCCACAATGCGTGAACTGCTTTATTCGAATACTATTAAACTGCTTGCGGGTACACTGCTCGTCCAACTGCTTGGTGTGTGCACTGGCTAAGCGCAACGCGTTGCCAGCTATATGTAAATTTGTGAGCTATATTTGTTGCCGCCGCTACGAATGTTTTAAAAAATGGTCTGTTAATATTAAAGGGATTTCTATATATATATATATATATATATATATATGTATATCGCTCTACCGTGGAGTGAGTATTTGCATATTGACAAATCTGTCGTTGGCCGCCAAGAAGGCCTTGTGTGTATTCACTTGGATGGCCACATCGACCAGGTTGGTATTGCTGAAGTAGTCCATGGCCACGACATTGGCATTGAGGCCCCACGGGCCGTTTAGCCATTGATTTACCTTTGGATTGATGAGTGCGGCGCGCTCCTTGGCCGTTTGCAGCTTGTGCGCATTGAGCGCCTGCTCGATGCTCTTCACAGCATGAAAGATCCAGCCGTCGTCTTGCACGGGCGACTCCGGCTTCCGGCTGAACAACAGACGCATGTAGTCCAGTGTCTGGGAGATGTTCATGTAGCTGGTGCTGAAGCGCTGCCAGGGTGTGCACAGCAGCACCGATTCTGCAAAGAAACTAGGATAACTATCTGTAAGATATATTAAAAGTCTCTCCTTACCATTCTCCGGATGCGGCAGCTCCTGTGTGGGAAACAGCAGCAACACCTGCCGCCCCCCGTTTCGCATATCATCAAAGCTGCGATCCGCACAGTGCTCATTGATGCTGACATTCCGCTCGTAGACCACTTCGCCCAGCTCCTGGCGTATGAGATGGTAGAGGCTGCTGTAGATCTCCGGATGCTTGTAGAAGCCAATGGGAAACGAGCTAAAGTCCAGCACGACCACCTCGTTCGAGAGCTGGACAAAGCGGCGCACGTCGCGAATGACATCGATTAAGGGATTTATGAACATGTTCTCATTAACCACCCAGAAGTTGTCCGCTTCTCTGCTGCTGTCCACGTTGCGATAGCTGCAATTGCAGTTCCATTGAGTTTCACATACTGGGAGCACATCTCAAAGCTTACCCCACGCTCAGATCCAAGTAGCGTATGCCAAAGACCAGCTGCGACCAGACATCGAAATGCTGTGCCACAAGATAATCCTTGACCAGCAGCGACTTGGTCTTGCTGTAGTTGGTTATGTAGGCGCCGGAGGCGTGTGTGCCCGGCAGAAAGAGACGCTTGAGCGGCATGCTGGCCGCATCCTTCAGATGGGCCAGCCAATTGGGCTGAATCTTGAGGCAGTCGATGGTCAGCAGCTCGGTGCCATTGTAGCTGGCCACATAGTACGGCAGGCACTTGCCCTTTGGATACCTGGTCGCCGTCTTCTGCTCGTCGACGGGCCGATCCCAGCCGCCCGGAAAGTGCAGCTTGCCCAGCTTAATGGGCGTCAGGCGCTTGCCCGTCCGATTGCGTATGCCGTCGATGCGCAGCTCCGGCTGAAAGTTCGACACGGACGGATCCTGCCGATAGATGCCCACCCATTCGGGCGGCGCAAAGCAGTCGGGTCCCCAGTTGACCTCCAGGCAGGCCTCGGTCAGCGTTTTGCCCGCCAGCGAAATGGTCAAGAATATGGGACAGCTGGCTGTGCAGCTGGATTAGCATACCGATCAGCATACCTGGATGCCCCAGGCCGGGCACTGGCCCACTCACCTGCGAGCGGTGCCACCAGCAGGTGGCATTGCAGCAAAAATAAACCAATTTTCCACATTCCTCCCATCAAGCTGACACTTAATTTTCTACTCTCGACGTTGGCGTGCTGATTGCTCGACTTCTGGCGCTCAATTGAAACGAGCCACAAATTTGTTGCTGCCTTTGTGGCTCAATTTGCACCGCCGCACCACACGAATTGCGCCCCCCATGCCCCAGGCGGAGCGAATTCTCGGAATCTCGACTTTCGTGAGCTTAGCCCGTGGCTGTGGCACTTGCCGCATTCAATTAAGTCCAATGAATCAAGAGCTGCTCGGCGAGAGCTTTTCGAATGTCAAGATGGGCAAATGTTCTCTAATAATTAAACTAAACTTGAATTTACGTTCGGTTCATGAACTAGTTCGCGTTAAGTTTCGGTTTATTTTCTAAAGTAATTTCGAATGCGAACTAATTTCAAAATATAAAAATCAAGAACATTTTAAAATCGAATTTATGTTTGGTTCATGAACTAGTTTACGTTCAGGATTCAGTTCATGCTCAAAAATACTTTCGTATTTCGAATGCGAACTATTTAAAATTGACTTTGTGCCGTTCATGATCGAGTTTGTGTTAAGATTCGGCTGAATTCGGAACGGAATTCAAAATATTAAAAACCAAAATTTTTAAAATATGTTTTTACGTTCGGCTTATGAACTAGTTTTGGTTCATGTTCAATTCGAAACACAATTTAATTGCTAAGAAAAAATTAAATAAAAATATTTTCGTATTTATTTGTTGTTGGTTTTGATTTTTTCCAATTGGTTTTTCTTGATTTTTCTTGGTTTTCCTTCTCTTGCTGGAAATTGTAACAATGTAATTTTCGCTCTTGACTTTTCTTCTTCTTTTCCTCTGTTTTTTTTTTTGTTTTTGTTTGTTTTTAAAATCGAACTTAGGCATATTTTAAGCACAACAATCCTTAGACTAAACTTTAACCGGTTCTGTACAGGCTAATTAATAATATTTGATTACATTTATTCAACTAAAGCTTAAATAATAATAATAATAATAATAATAATATTCGAGTTGTTCGGTTTGCCAGTAAATTGCGTAAATTGCAATTGAATTGAATTTGTTGCATTTTTTTTAAGTACAATTATTATTTTGAACGGAATGCGTGCATTTAGCATAACTACAACAACAACAAAAATTGTTGCTAATTTACATAAATAAATAATGTTAAGTATTTGATATTTGATTTATATTTGCACAGGTACAAAATGCAATACGCTATTCAAGGCAGCTGTCTAATAATTTCTCATCGTTTTGCTTGAGGTAGGTAATTTGTAATTTGTAATTTGTAATTTGTAATTTGTTAATAATAATTTATATATTTGCATAAAAAAAAAAACAGACAAACATCAAACTTGGCATTCGGGCAATTGAAAAAGTCTAGACGCTCTGCAAAACAGCTCCTGTCTTAAGCTTAACGAGCTAATTATAAATAAATTATGTATTTTAAGTATTTAATTAATTACAAAAAAAATATATTTATATATATAAACTATATATGTATATAGAAAACATAAAAAACAGTCTTGTGGTTGCATTTGTGTTAGTTTCTCGTTGCGCAGAAATGAATGCGAATGAATAAATACGAATACGAATACGAATACGAATACGAGTATGTGTGTATGCGTATGAGTGTGTTGTGTGTGCGTGTGTGTGCGTGTGTGTGCGTGTGTTTATATATATAAATAAATTCTGCTTAATAACTGGGTACTATGCGCATGTCTTTTGCTTGATTTAGGAATTGGAATAGCTCCGATAATATATATATAAATTTGTATATATATATATGTGTGTGTGTGTTTATATGCATGTATGTACAATGTGAGGGTCGGCTATACAGTCTATGGCTATATCTATATACAGGCCAACTATTTACAGTATTTCAGCTCTACCGTTTCAGCTCACCTGCTGCGTCAGCAGGTTGACCAGCTCGGTGCGCTCCATGTTGTTCAGCGTGTGCATATCGACGCCGAGTGCGGCGGCGACGGCCTCGATGTCCAGGCCGAAGGAGGTGAGCAGCTCGAGAAAGCGCATCTCCTCGCCGGTCAGCGGATTGGTCAGCGTCGGGCACGAGTGGTTGCACTGCGGCCAGCTGCAACGCTCCAGCAGACGCAGGCCGCACTTTTCCGGCACGCGCGGCACACGCTGCCGCAGCGGATTCGGATTCGGCTTCGGCTTCGGCTTCGGCTTGGAGGCGCTGTTCGAGGCGCGACGCTTTTGCGGCTCGCTCGGCTGTTGCTCCTGCTGCAGCTCCGGTTGCTGCTGCTGCTGCTGCTGCAGCTTGCGTCGCTGCTGGCGTTGCTGCTTGCGCTGCAGCTGCTGCTCTGCGCTTAGTTGTTGGCGGCGTCGCTGCTTTCGCTGCTCGTTGTTGTTGTTGTTGTTGTTGCTCTTGCTGCTGTTGGCGTCCGCCTGGCTTTCGCGCTTGCGCTGCAGCTGCTGCTGCTGTTGGCGGCGTCGCTGCTTGCGCCGCTGTCGCTCCTGACGGCGACGCTTGCGCTCCTCGCGCTGCTCCTTGCTGAGATGATTGCGCTTGCGCTGCGGCTGCGCCACATTGTTCAGCTTCTGTGCCCGCTGGCGATGTCGCTGATGTCTTTGGCTGTTGGCATTAGGGTGTGGCAGCAGCTGCTGCTCCTGCAGCGCCATCGTCGTCGCCTCCGTGGAGCGCTTCAGCTTGTCGTGGCGCTTGCGTCGCGGCCGCGTCGAGTGCTCCCAGCAGCGCAGCGCCGCAGGCAGCGAGATGTCGTCGATCTTGATGTTCACCCAGTCGCGCTTGGAGAGCACCGCATGCCCAATGCAGCTGGGCGCAAACACGGCGCTCACATTGTCCAGCGAGGAGCGCAGCGCGCCGCCCATTTCGTGTATATAATTCCATTGCTGGGGCGTAACGGGCGCGCCCACATTGTCGGCGCGCATTTGGGCCTCATCGAAGAGCCACTGGAACACAAACAGTGGAGCTGGAGGGGATCGGTTAGTTAGCACCGGCACAAAGGGAAAATTCACTTTCACAACTCACTTTTTAGCGTGGGATACAGTCGATAGCCGAAGTAGCAGCGCCAGGGCTCGGTGGGATGCGCCTTGACGCAGTCCTCGGGCAGCAGGCCCTGCCACAGCTTCCAGCCTTGACGCACCGCCTCGCTGGATGCCACTGCGGATGGGGTGTAAGGCTCGCGGTCCAGAAACCAACCCGAGTCGCTGACGCCACGCACCGTCACCTGCAGCTTGCGTTCGTTGACCAGGAAGTCGCGCACACGATCCAAGTTGAGCATGACACCCAGGCCTCCGGCGGAGGAGCCCACCAGCAGCAGCTCGCCGCCGGCTACGCGACCCAGACCCAGCGGTATCAGATCGGCAATCACCTGACGCAGTATCAGGGCGCCCATGAAGCGCCAGTTGTTCTCGCGATCGCGTGTGTCCGGCTCGGTGCGTGTGCCCGACCAGGAGTCGCTGCTGCAGTAGGGCACCAGCACATGATTGGCATTGTGCCAGTAGGGATTCTCCTCGGCGTGCGGCGACAGTATGCCACCAACTGTAGGCGAGTGGGCAGAGGCATTAGCTTGGGCTGTAAGCAACAGGGATTCGTTGCGGAAACTCACCATCTCGTGTCTCTGGCCACTGCGAGGAGGTCATCAGGTGGCGCAGTCGCAGCCAACGCGCCCGGCACGACCGATTGTCAAAGCAGTGCCAGCCGCCCTCGAGGAACACAATCCATTTCTTCGAGTTGGGCTGCTTGCGCAGGTAGAAGCCCGCGTGGGTGCCATCGTTGCAGGTGATGCTCGTGTTGGTCAGCGAGGCGCGCTTCAGCGAGCGGCTGTGATCGCTGTGGTCGCTGTGCTCGCCAGCAGCGCTGCCTGCGGCCGCTGCACCCGCCGGATGCATGACCATATAGTTGCGCTGTATCATGTTCAGCGAATTGCCATGCCCATCCGCCTGCTCCTGCTCCAGTTCCAGTGGCGCTTTGGCCACGCCAAATGTCTGCATGTTGTCGTTGTTGTTGCTGCTGCTGTTAATGCTGCTGTTAATGCTGTTGCAGCTGGCGTGCGGCAAGACGCTGAGCGCAATCAGCGGCAACAACAGCGTCAGCTGGCAACGCAATTGCGTTGTCGTCGACGTCGTCGTTGTCTGCAAGAGATCAAATCCAAAATTGAACTTACAAATCTTCAAACACATTATTTGCCAGCCACACAGAGTAGAGGTTACGCTCACGCAATCACAAAGAGGTTTATGCTAGAACTTGAGCTTGCTCAGCCTAGCTTCAATAAAGCTTTCGATGATTCTTAACTTGCACACCCACATAAAACGCACTTCACATGGAGTAGCAATTGCTCTCAAGCGCTCCTCTGACTTAAGCTCGCTGTGCCTAGCTTTCTATTTATTACTCAATCCGTTATTGATACGCCTCCAAACACATTCATTAAATGCTTGCCACATAGAGTATCAATTGCTCTCACACTGCCACATTTAGGTTTATCCTCCAACTTAAGCTCGCTCAGCTAAAGCTTTCGTTAATGCTCAATTGTCTTATAAACAAACACTGGCAATAGCTTTTACGCCAGCACGTAACGTGCTGTGCTGAGAGCGTGCTTTAAAGCTGCACTTGCACACCGCGCCACTCACTACCCACCGCCCACCGCTCCCACTCTCTCTCTCTCTCTCTCTCTCTCTCTCTCTCTCTCTCTCTCTCGCTGTTTGCGTGTGTCAACTCACAACTCATTCACAACTTTTTGTTATTGTCGTCGTAATAACCGCGTGCGCGCACTCTCTCGCTCTCGCTCTCCCTCTCTCTGTCCTTGTCTACCTTGCTGTGGCTCTCTCAGTTTTGCCATGCTGCGGCCGCCTGTTGCTCTTATGGTTTTCTGTTGTTGTTGTTGCCTTTGTATTTTGGCGGAAAAATTGCTTTGATCAAAATGCGAGCAAGAAGCTTTGCGATAAGATCAAAGATATTTTTGCCGCGCATTTCGTTACGTTTTTGTTGTTATTGTTTTACGTTGTGCACTGTTTGTTGTTGTTTGCTCTTCGCATTAGCTACATGGCAGAGCAGAGCAGAGAGTGCGCGCGAGAGGGAGAATGAGAGCGGGAGGGTGGGGATCGGAGAGAGACAGTTACGTCTAGTATTTAGTCAAACATAGAGAACTTTTCTGTTATTACATACACAAATAATTTATATTGTTCATACGCCTCGTGGGCTCTGGCTCACACACACAGACACACGGATTTCACATTGTCATGGCCGCTGACGCGTGGTAATCAGCGTCGTTGGCGTCGACGTCGACGTCGACGGCGACTTCGACGTCTGTTTCTGTTTCAGTTTCGGCTTTTTGCTGTTGTTGTTGTTGCTGTTCTTGGCTTTGAACTTAAGGTCGGTTGTGCACATCAATCAAATGAGCAGCGGCGATTTGTGGCTGCTGTTATTGTTGTTTTGATTTTACGCTATTTTCCAGCAATTTGTAAATGATACAAAAACAACTAAATGCCAACAACAAAACGCGTGCCGCCAACAACAGAACAACAACAACAAGTCAAAGGCAACGATTTTAGTGTCTCAGTGTGTCAGTCTGTCAATTGTGTCCGCCTGTCTGCGCCGCTGTCTCTGCATAAATAACCATTCAGAAATCGTAAAGAAATCTTCAATCAATGTTTATTTTGGCTTTGAAGTTGTGCCGCTGCGCGCCGCAGTCGCTGCCTCTAGCAACGACAATTTGCAGACAAAATGCAAATGACACGGACAATTTGAGCGGAGGCCTACAAACGGCCAGAACAATTATGGGCACACACACATCAGACTTGGCCAGTTGTTCAAGAAGTTCGAACTTGACCAGCGGCAGTGCGAGTAACGGTAACGAATTGAGCTTTAAGCTAGAAGCCAAAGCTTTAAGTCGATAATTTTGAGCTTTAAAGTAGACGCGAAAGCTGATCTCTCTGCTCCTGTGCTCCTGCTGTTACCGTTACACACAAATTGAGCGACTTTTCTTCAATCAGTTTTCCGTTTTCAGTTTTGCTATCGCTGCCGTTTTGATTGCTGCCTGTCAAAGCGCGTCTGTTATGGGGCCTTCCCCCGCTGCCAACAAAACTCAAGAAACCGAAAAAAGACGAAAAACAAAAAAAAAACTCTCTGATGTTTGCCGCTTAACAAATTGACAAGAATTCTAACGCTAGCAGCGAACTCTGCGAGAGCTGTTCAATAAGTTAGCAGTTGTTTGAGAAGGTTGAATAATCGAATAGAAATCAATAACTGATTTAAACAGTTAAACTAATTTCTGGAAGTTTATAATAGACCCATAAATGCGATGAATATATTTGGAATTATTTTCATGCTGGCTTTGATGACCTTTCCTTTTTTGTATTTATTGGGAAATTAATTTATAATTTTTCTAACTAATAGTCTTTAGGCAAGAGCACAAGCTCAAGTTGAATATTGTGCATCAATTTAGGTTAATATGAACACAATTTGAAAAAAAAAAATAAATAATTTTATAAATTTTTTTGTGTCTTTTACCAAGAATCAGCGAGCTATTTTGGCTTTAACAAGACAGATATGCTTTATAGAGTGGAATTTTATGTTGGAGTTGTTTGTTTTTGACTTGCCAGCTATTTGGCTTACTTTACAAGCGACCCTCGTTTATAGCAATGCTTGACGATTTGGCTTGGGGGCTGCGCCTACGATCTTCTAATGTTAACCACGACCCACAAAATAAAATTAAAAAAAAAAAGAAGTAACAAAATTACGTGTGTGCGCGGATTTACGCTTGAGTAAACAAAGCGCGTGCCCACATTGACAAACACACGCACGCACACACACTCGTAAGCAACACACAGATACAAATGTAGGCACTGAGATAGAGATACTTAGTTTCGAGCGTACGTTGCACTTGTTGTTTACCTGTTAAGAGAAAAAACGGCAGCGCCGACAGCGCGACAACAACAGCAACAACAACAAGAGCAGCGGCAGCTGCTCTGTCGCCGTCGTCGTCGTCGTCGTCGTCGTCGGCTCCGGCAAAGGAAAAAATGTTCACAAGCGCCGCTTAATTACCCTATATAGCGTCTTAAGTTGCGCTATTAATTGCGGGCACTGCTTATTAATATTTTGCTTTTGGCTTGTAGCGACTCTTTTCTGCTTTTTGTTGTTGTTGTTGTCTTTCTTTCCAGTTGCCCGTATTCCGATTTCTTGCGGCCAGCAACGCCGACAAAGGCGCCTAGCCCCGCCCCAGCCCCTCTATCTGCCTCTAGTCGGGCAGTTTGAGTTTAGGCGGCAGCTCTGTCTGGGGGCTGGCTGGCAGCCAACTACTTGTCGCGGCGATTAAATTGTCAGTTTTTATTAATTGCTGCAAATAGTCAAGTGGCGCTGTCTCCCTCTCTCTTCCCCTCTCTCGCTCTCTCTCTCTCTGCCTACGCGTCTCTGGCTCAGTCGCTGCTAATAGTCATTCGCGCTGGCGCTAAGCGTTTAGTTTTTCTTATTTATTCATTTTTTATTCAACATTAAGCATACGCCCCGTGCTGACTTGAATAAATTTGATTTGCTTGTGACTACAGCGGCTGCTACTGTGTGTGAGTGTGCGAGTGTGTGTAAGTGTGTGTGTGTGTGTGTTAATTTCAATGCAATTAGGCCTTTACAGGTTATACTACTATTAAATGTCATATGCTAAGTGAATTAAACTATTTACAATTTGAAAATTTGCCAACTTTTTCTGGCATATGATTATTTATAATCTTTAGCTTTTTCATAAATATATACATATGTTGATTTATATATAAAAATATGGTTTAGATAGATAGATAGACAGATATTCGATACAAGATTGGTCAGTAAAGGGGAGAGTATAAATATATAATATATATATATATCATGATGAAGATAGTCCTAATCGTTTGCAGCATGACTTATAATTTGCTTAGCGTATTCAAAATGTTTGGCTTTTGCTTTGCTGCACTAGTTTTCCCTCGCCATTTACAAATTACACACACATACCAGCACACACACTCACACACGCACGTGCGAGCAGTAAAAAATGCAACATAATCAATAACGACCTTGTCAAATCAAAGGAGCCGAGCGGCGCGCGCACTCGGCCTGTAACTGCGCCGCCGACGGGCGAAGGGGAGGGAAGTGAAGTGTTGCGGTGCGGCATTTATTTTTTTTTATTTTTATTTATGATTTGCCTTTGCGGCTGCTTTTGCTCCTTATGCAGCCCCTTCTACCTCTCGCGCGCTGCATCAACTCATTAGCAAGAGCACTTGCTGCTACAGCAGCAACAACTAAACAATTCTCTCGCTCTCTCTCGCTCTCTCTCTCTCTGTCTCCCGCTCACGCACACACGCTCTTTTATCTCTGTCACACGCGGCTTATCGCATACGCTTAAATAAATAGCGGGCCAGGCATAAATAAACTTCCGTTGCCGTTGTTTTTGGTTGTTGTTTATTGTTTGTCATATTGTTGTTGCCAGTTTGTTTGAGTTGCGTGCGTCGACGGCGACGTCGCTGCCAGCAAAAAAAAAAAAAGCAGAAGACAACAAGAAAAACGCGCGCAAAATGCAAAAACCAGTCGAAGCAGCCGTTGAATTTGAAGGGAAGCTGCGCAGGCTCAGTGTATTATCAGCTAAGGGGTTGGCATTTCTTCTAAGTAGATCGTCAAATGGTTATCAAAAGCAGTTCAACCTGTTCATAAATACCTTTTGCTGCCAGTTTAATTGACACACGTTTGGAAATTGTGAGCAAAGGTTCGAGGGGATGGAAACGCTTACAAACTAAAGCAAAGGCTAGAGGAGAGGGGAAAACTATTTAGAAATGCTTGTAAACTATAAGCAAAAGCTAGAGAAGATGGGTAAACTATCTGCAGGTGGTTTTTATACCAAGTCAAAGCTTAGGTATACTGTAGGTATCTTTAATAGGCAATTAAAAAACTGTTAACAAGCTTTAGTTATTAAATTAAGCTTTTGCTGAGATAAACTAGACACTCGTCAATTTTATAACCATATGATATTTTA